GCTCTACCTGCTGGCGCTGCGGGCCCTGGTGCAGCTCTCCCTGCGGCAGCTGCTGCGCCGGCCGGGGCCGCGGGACTTCAGCGCCCCCCGGGCCAGGTACGGGCAGCGCCCGCGATCCTCCTCCATCCTCCTGCCCCGTCTCCTCTCTCCCCATCCTCCCCCTTCCACCTCCCTCCCAGCGCCGCGGCCTCCCCATCCCGCCCCCTTCCTCCCAGCGCCTCGACATTCCCCGGGTCAGGTTCGGGCAGCGCCCGCGACCCCTCCAGGGGCCTCCCCATCCCACCCCCCATGTCCCCTCATCCCGCCCCCGTCCCTCCCAGCGCCCCTGCCCCCCACGTCCTTCCCAGCGCCCCCCTCTCCCCGTTCCGCACCTCAGTGCCCTGCCTCCGGACCTCTCCACCTCACTCCTGGATCAGGTACTGGCCAAGTGGGCCAGCTGTCTAATTGCAGTGTAGAGCTACACTAAGAGTCAAAGTAGGTGATCTCTCTCTCACACATCATCCCCATCCCCTTTTCTGCCCTTGCTGACTTCTGAGCAGTCCAAATGCTTTCGCAGAGTTTTCAGAGAGTAGCTAATTGGACATGCAGTAGAACCTCAGAATTACAAACATCTTGGGAATGGAGGCTGTTTCTAACTCTGGACAAAACATTAGGGTTCCTTTAAAAGTTTACAACTGAACATTGACTTACTACAACTTTGAAACTTTACTATGTGGAAGAAAAATGATGCTTTCCCTTTATTTTTTTTACTAGTTTAGTACTGTACTGTATTTGTTGCTGCTTCTTTGTGTGTGTATGTGTGTGTGTGCATCTCTGCTGCTTCCTGATTGCATACTTCTGGTTCCAAATGATGTGTGTGGTTGACTGGTCAGTGTGTAACTGCTGTTCGTAACTTGAGGTTCTACTGTACAATTCTGTTGATGAAACACAGGGACTAGAATCCATCTCTCTTAGCTGTGTTGGCCGTATATGACTAACAGGACTAAAAAGCAGTAAAAGTTTACTTTTTGCCACTGAGCAGATTTAATTTTGAGAAAACAAAAGGAAAACATCTAATTGCTATTTTTTTATTTATCAATATTCAGAGTGGAACTGTGCTTTGAGGCCTGATTGTACCAGGCATTGTACAAACATATAGACACGTTTGCTGCCCTGAAGAATTATAATTCTGGGAAAATGGGAGGGAGTTGCTGTCAGTTGTCTTCATGAAGAACATTAATTTCTGAAACTCCCGCCTTGGTCTGTCAGAGCCTAACATTGTTAACTTTTCTGCCACTCAGCAAAGTCTGTCTATCTTAGGCCATTTGTACACTAGCGAGCTTACAGTGCCACAGCTGTCCTGATGTAGCTGTGTTGCTGTAAGACCGCTTGTGTAGCCTCTCTATGATGGTCAAGAGTTCTCCTGTCAACATAACAAAACCATCTCAACGAATGGCGGTAGCTATGTCGGTGGGAGAAACTTTCCTGCCGACACAGCGCTGTGCACACAACCACATATGTCAGCAAAACTTATGTCACTTAGGGGTTTGTTTTTCACGTCGCTGGGCGACATAAGTTTTGCCAACATAAGTGGTGGTGTAGATATAGCCAGAGTATGGCCATTAGCCCTGGCCCCAATATCTACACTACTGTTGTTACCCATGTTAGCTAAATTAAAGTTAGCGTGGGTATGGCTGCCTGTACTAACACCTTCACTTGCAGTGTAGACATACCCTGGGGAGAATATAGGCTAAATATTTAAGAGCTACGGTTTCCTTTTGGCATTCTCGTAGGTTTTATTTTTGTGGTGAATAAATATTGTGTTAACGTTTGGGCAGGGGCGGGCAAACTTTTTGGCCTGAGGGCTGCATCGGGTTCGTAAATTGTATGGAGGGCTGGTTAGGGGAGAAGGTCGTGGCCCCTCCTCCCCCCCGGGACTCCTGCCCCATCCAACCCCCCCGTTCCCTGATGGCCCCTCTGGAACCCCTGCCCCATCCACACACCCCTGCTTCCTGTCCCCGGACCTCCCCCTGCCCCATCCAACCAACCCTTCTCCCTGTCCCCTGACTGCCCCTGGAGCCCCTGTCCTCCCATCCAACCCCCCCCCCCCCCCCCCACGCCCCCCCCCCCCCCCCCC